CCCTCCAATTACCATCCCTCTTATCCAACCCTGGCCCCAGCTCAGCCTCTCTCCTTCCCAGCACCCCTCTCCCCTCAACCCCTGCCTCCACCTGCTCTTTAGACAGCCCCTGCCTCCCTGCCTTTGGGATTTGAATCGTCCTATAGCCCTCCTTGCTTCCCATCCCTAAGATTCCAGCCCTTGCCTCTCGCCTTTATTTTTGAGGGTGGGGTGGGAACGTGGGGTGGTCCAACCAGGGGAAGTGGGCTCCATCAGATACAGGGTAATGGAAGGAAATGTAATCGTAGCCCCTCCCCGCAGCTCCTGATCTGGTTTCCCTCTCCCCTCCCCCTTGCCCTTCCTGATTCATTGGCCCAAGCTACAGGGTACAGAGTCCCCTTCATATTTGCTGGAGGAGGGCAGGTGGGAGGGGAATGTATTGGGGATCTTGCCAGGCTACGTCTAGACCAACACCCTAGGGAAGGGGCTCTGGGTCTGCTGCATTCTAGGGGATGCTGGTCTCCACCCCTCCCCAGGGAGCCCTCATCTAGGTCACCAGGGCCTCTTGACCTTGGCCGGAAGCTGCATGTCAGTGGCTCACATGCCACCTGCCCAGAGACTGGGCCTAGGAGTCCTCACCTTCAGCCTGAAGCATCCTCAGGTCTCGGACGAGAAGATGGAAAGGACCCATGTAACTCACTGGGCGTCCCCTTCCATGAGCCCACTTCTAGATGGACTTAGGCTGGGGAGGGAGTGTGCAGAGGGAGGACTCTCTCCCCTTGAAGGAAGGACCCACTGGGACAGGGACCCTCCTCAGCAGATGAAACTTGGAATCCAAGAACCAGACTCCCTGCCACGTAATCAATTCGGACTCATGGAGACCCTGTAGGACAGGGTACAGGTGCCTCTGGTGGGTTTCGGAGACTGTTACTCTTTAGAGAAGTAGGAAGCCTCGTCTTTCTCCCTCAGGAGTTGGAGTTGTGAACCCAAAAGTTGTCCTCAGGCCACTGGCCGGGAGCAGGCTTGGACCACAGGATGGGGTGCTGACACAAACAGGGACCTCTATCCCATTCCTCTCTCCCTACTGTTTCCACCCAACTTAGGTTTCCTGGTCCAGATTGGGTTTCTCTTTGGGCTACATTCCCAGCCCCCACCCAGTGTGTGAGAAAGCCCAGGAGCCCAGGCCTCTGGGACCCAGCTAGGGGGGAGGGGGGGAGAGGCGGGGCAGTCTCTGAGTAGGGAAGACGGAGGTCTGGAGCTGAGAGCCGCCGCCTGTCTCCCCTTCCTGCCTAAAGCTCGTCTCCAACTTGGTCTCTTTCTTTCTGCCAAGCACATCATGCATTCCCACAGATAAACACACAGCTGAAGCTTACACAACCTGACCGTTCAGCCCCGAAATGTTGATCCACAAGTGATGTACACACAGAACTTGACACCCGTTCACACTCCACCCATACACAGATTGAGCTCAGCCAGCCTAGACACACACACAGACACGCCCGTACATCCCCTGTTTGACTTTTCTGAAGATTCTAGATTTGAGGCAGGCAGACTTGAAGGAAGCTGATGGTAGTTGAAAAGTGTGAGCCATTGGCAGGTCAAGAGACTGACACTGTCCGCTCATTGCTGCTGATGGGGCCACACTGCCTCCACCACCAAGCCAGGGCAGAGAGGGCGAAGGCCACCCCTTCACCCTCTCACTGGGATGCTCATGCCCCTTTCCTAACATGAACCCCGACTACTCAGTGAGACTTGGGAGAAGCAAAGAAGCACCAGGATGTGTGGGCCCCCCACATGCTACCCACCATCCTCTCCTGCTTAATATTCCTGTCTCTCATCCATCCGTGTCTCCCCTCAAGCCCTGAAGACCCGGGCACTGAAATGTGGGCCTCAGCTGGGGAGCTAAGAAGCCCTAGGTGTCAATCCATCCGTCAGGGACACAAGAGTTCAGCCCTGATTTGGTCCCCTTCTTATGAGCGATCTCAACCATCCTAGTCCTCCTCAGCCTCAGCTACATTCCAGTCTCCCTCTCCCTGGCTCCCTGGGGATGGAGGGAGGAGGACTGTTCAGAGAGGCCTGTTTCATGCCTGTAAGCCCCTGACTTCATCCCCTGATAGCAGAGAGCCTCAGAAAAACTCCCCTCCTCTCCCCTCCTCCTGTGAACTCTTGGCAGGAGACTGCAAGACATCTGCTGACCTAGGGTGGGGGCAGAGATGGATTCTAGTCCCACCCAGCCCGACAGCCCTGCCCTTAAAGGCCCTGTTGATCAGAGAGAGAGAGGGGGAGAGTTCAGATCTCCACTTATTCCCAATTGTGCGATGCCATCACCCACTCCTTCCTGTATTGTTCTATGCCCTCTAGAAGCTGCTGCCTTTAATAGGTCCCAGGAATGTGTCCGGGTGTCTTAGGGCCCAGAGGTGGGAAGCTGGGACCAGAGGCCAGTTGTGGCAGACAGCCTCGCCTCAGAGTGGAGAGCCAAAAGGTCCAAAGAGTGTCCTCTCACCTGGAGGTCCTTGGTGACAAAGTAGACCCTCCATGAGATGGTACATCAAGCCCAGCTCTTCCGTCTGCAGGGTGGCCTTGGGCAATGCCGTGCTCTGTGACGTAGGAGTGCTGTGTCCGTCCGTTGATCGTTCGATCCCTTTCAGGGCTGGAAAAGAACAGAGAGACTGAGCTCAGAACTCTCAGACAGGCTGAGGGATGCGGAGTGGGCCTGGGACCTGGGCCCAACCAGCTGCTGCCAGTTGGGGTGGGGTGGGGGGAATGATAGCCCTGTACCCACTGGGGCTGGGATTCCTGGCTCACCCCAGCCTGCCTCCACAGATGGACCCTGTGCAAAAGGCTGTGTTGTCCCACACTTTTGGGGGACCCTTGCTCAAGACCAAGCGGCCCATTATTTCCTGTAATGTCTGTCAGATCCGCTTCAATTCACAGGTAAGAAGCCCAACTGCTCACCAACCCAGTGGGTAGGGCGGGGCGGGTTGGCCGGGACAAACAGGGGGCTTTAGAGGAAGACAGAGGCTTAGGGGCATGCTGGAGGAAAGGCAGTGAAGGGGGTGCTAGAGGAGGGGTAGAGGCTGGTGGAAGTGCTTGAGAGGACCAAGAGATGGCTGTGTGTTCTGACAAGAAATAGCCATGTCCTCTCAAGCTGACCCCTTCCTTCCTTGGGGTCGGAGCGCCTCTGATTCCGTTTTTCAAAACACTGGTGTCTGTTGGGAGGGTGGCCTCTGGCCCCGCTCATTGGTCCTTGAGCAAGGGCTGAGTTAGGTCACTGGCTCCCCCATAGAGCCTGGCCCTCCTTGGCCTCCTCTAAACTCCTCCCTTGGCCCACCCACCTCTCTTTAACCTGACTTCCTCCTCTCTCTGCCCATCTCTACTCCTTCCACATCCTGGGCCCTGCTCCCCTCCCATGGGACTCTCCCAGGGGTTGAAGCCATCCTAAGACCCAGAAGTCAGGTGTCTACATCCCAGATTTCCTCCTTCCTAGCCTCCACTGGGCCTTGTGTGTGGGTCCAAAAGGGGCTTCTGGCGGGGAGTACAGTAGAGGGGGAGTGATCCACCCTCTGAAAGCTTTTGAAGAAACACAGCAGAGCCTCATTCTGCTGAGTAGGGGGAAATCAAGCATGCTCTGTTTCCTTGCCCAGTCCCCCCTCCGTCCCCTCAATACTGCTGGGCTCTGCCCACCCCCACCCAGGGCTTCAGTCTTTTCCTGCCTACCCCTGCCTGGATGACCTTGGGGCCACAGGAGGGTATGTTCTCAGCAGGGGGTGGGTGCACAGGCTTGTAGAGGAGGGAGAGGTGCCGCCAGGTCCACCGAACATCTGGCCTCTCCTTTAGTTCGGACCCCAGGCTTTCCCTCTCCCAGTTCACAGAGGGTAGGAGAGTAGAGGCCCAGAGGAGCCCTGCTGTCAGAAGGAAGCAATGGCAGAGAGCCCTCCCCCTCTTTTTGCCTCCCCTCTCCCTCCCCCACCAAGTGGCTCTGTTGTGACAGCTGTCTCTGCTGCTGTCTCTGTCTCCACACTGGGCTTGGGGCCAGGGTCTTCCAGGCTGTCTGCAGCGGCTTGAAGGAAAATGAGACCCAGGAGGGAGTAGTCGCTAGGGCCCGGGCATTCGAGCTCCTGGGCCTCTCAGCCTGAAGATGGAAGCAGAAAGGCTGGCTCCCAGAGGAGGGGACACAGCACCAAGGCCTAGGGTCTCAGAGATTCCTGGATGCCTGGGTGGCCGAGCCCCTCCCAGTTAAGGATTCTGCCAGAAGGCTGGGGTTCCCCCTCCCTGACTCCAGCCCTAGAGGACTGGGTGAGGGTCCTGCATCAGCAGCCAGGCCCTGGGCACAGTGGGAGCCCCAAGATCCCAGCACTCCAGTTTGAGAAGCTAATCTGAGCCCCAGGAACAAGCAGGACTCCTTGGCAGGGGGCTTAACATCTCGTGGACCTAGGGAGAGATTTACTGTAGCCTGCTGAGACTACCCCTGAGCTGGGCCCGAAGGTGGGGAGAAGGGTTCAATGAAAGGGAATTTCTTCCTCTGTCCCTAAAGAGTCAGGCCGAAGCGCACTACAAGGGTAATCGCCATGCCCGAAGAGTCAAAGGCATTGAGGCCGCCAAGACCCGAAGCAGGGAGCCTGGCACCCGGGAATCTGGAGACCCAGCTCCCCCAGGCAGCAACCCCCAAAATGGGGATGGTGTTGCCCCTCGCCCAGGTATGTCTGACTCCCCCAGTATTTTTCCCCACCCCCACCCCATCTTCAACTTTTCCCTGCATGCTCCACCTCATCCCATACTTCCTTCTGCCCCCATCCCCTCATCCCCCACCTCCCCCGCCCCTGGTCACCTCCATCCCTCTTTTTCTGTCGCTCCGCTACCCCCACCCAAGGTGAGCCAAGCACAGTGATGTGAAATTTCCATCCTGTCACCCTGGTCCGTCCCCGCCCTGGCTCCTCTCAACAGAGTTCTGCCTGTCTGTCTTCCCACTGCCCAGTGACTCAGAGAGGGGCTAGGGTGAGGCTACCTGGCAAAGCTCCCCAAGAACAAGGGAACCCATCAGGTCCTGGGAGAGGCCCCTTCATATGGGGGAGAGTTGCTGGGGAAGGAGCCAGGCTGACTGAGTGCCTGCCCCCAGAGGGACTTCCCTCAGGGAAGACAGAGAGGGCCCAGGAACCCCTGGAACCCCCAGGATGATCTGGATAGAACTGTTGGCCCCTCTAGGCCAAGAGTTTTCTCTTCTGGGAAGTAGAGGGTTTGGACTTGAAAAGCTCAAAGGACTTTTCGAGGTTTACCAAAAGCAAACTCAGAGTCTTGCTCCCTGATGCCTGGTAGCCATCCTCAACTATACTCTGAGCCAAGGAGAAATTGAGCCAAGGGAAGATCGACATAGGAAGATTGATCCACCTCCCCAACATCAGATGCCAGGCATGGTCAACTCCAGAGACCCAGCATCCTGCATCTCCTCCCTATCCTTGCCTGTCCTCCTCCTGGCCCTGCCCTGAAAGGAGAGACAAATATCTTCACCAACCACTTAGGGGCACTCCATTAGAGCTCTAGAGCCGAGTTCTAGTTAGGGCCTGACAGCTTCTTAGCTGTATCCTCTTGGCTTAGCCCATTACAACTCTGAAACATGAGGCTGTTGATCGTCTTTATTGTATAGCACTGTTCTAAGGGTTTTGCCAAGAGCCCTGGTGGCACAGCGGGCACAGCTTTAGTTAGCAAACTAAAAGGTCAGCAGTTCAAATCCACTCGCCGCTCCTCAAGAGCGAGATGAGACAGTCTGCTTCTGTAAAGATTGACAGCCTCTGAAACCTGATGGAGCGGGTGTCCACTGCCCGATCAGGTGGCTATGCGTCAGAACCGACTGGATGGCAGCAGGTCAGATGCCTTATGCAGATTGCTGCATTGAACGCCTGCAGTGGAGGAGTTGGCAGTGGAGGAGTTGGCAGTACCCGCCCTGCTTGCACAAAGTGGTTACATGTTGGGCTGCTAGTCACAGGTCAGCCAGGCCACACGACCAGTCACTCTGCAGGGGAAAAAGCCGGCTTTCCACTCCGGTAAACAGTTCCAGTTCCAGGAACCCACAGGTTCCCGGGCTGCTCGCCTCTGTCCTGGAGGGTCGCCATGAGTCGGCATCCATGGGAGAGCAGTGACTTTGAAGTTTGTTGCTTTTGTTTTTATTTGTTTCACAAACCATGAAGTCCTGCTCTGAGGAAGCGTGTGCTGCCCAGATTAGGATGGAGGTAGAGGCCTTCAGAAATGAGGAAGAAGAGAAATAAGAGAAAAGACCGGATGATGGTCAAGCAAATGCATGCCTTACAGGGGTCAGAGTCGCCCTCCCAGGAGCTCCCCACCCCCACTGCAGGCCGCCCCATGACCCGGAAACTGGATCGGCTGCTGGGTAGAGAATGGGAGCGCTAGAGTTTCCCCTGTTCAGAGGCCAGGGCCCTGTGCGAGGCCTGGGGCCTGTGCATCTTTAACGAGCCATGAATTATGGAGAAGGCCGTATCCCTGCTCCTTCCCTCCCCGTGGCTGCTCTTTCTGGTTCCCTTTTGCCAGGTCTGGGTCCCTCCGTCGGCCCGACTCTCCTTGCCTCTCCTTTCCTCGGCCTCAGCCTCTTCCCAGAACTCTTTGAAAGGCCTCACTGGGGGCTTGGGCAGGAGGCCCAGGAAGGGGACAGATTCATGTCCGGTGCCTCTCCCCCTGGCCTGGCTGACTTCCAGCTTCGGCTCAAAGGGGGGAACCCATGGGGCTGAACCCCCAGGCCACTCGCAGTTTAGGGGGTATGAGCCAGGCCAGGGCTTGGCGTTCACACCCAGCCAGCAGCAGCTGAGCTACATCTGGTTCTTACCCCGGGCATGAGAGCATGCATGTTGTCACAGGGCGTCGACTCCTGAGCCTTTCAGGCTTTCTCCAAAAGCCATCTGAGCTGCCCCTGTGTTTCTACCCCAACAACAGTTTCCGTGGAGAATGGAATGGGTCCCGCTCCAGGGTCCCCAGAAAAACAGCCTGGCTCCCCATCCCCTCCCAGCGTTCCGGAGACTGGTCGGGCCACAGCCAAGGGTGAAGTGGGGACCCCAGCCCCAGCTTCCCTGCCTGGGGGTAGCAAAGAAGAAGAGGAGAAAGCCAAGAGGCTGCTCTACTGTGCTCTGTGCAAGGTGGCTGTGAACTCCCTGTCCCAGCTCGAGGCTCATAACAAAGGTATGGGCTCCTCTGTGCCCACCCACACCACCCTGTCCTCCCATCTACATCCGGGGCCCTGGGAGACCTAGCAGCCTACCTTTTTCCCCAGTCATCTGTCTTCCCCATCCCCCAGCCTCCCTCCACCTTATCTCTTTTACCTAACGCTCCCCCAGACTGGCATTGTGTTTGGGAGGGTCCCAAGCAGCCTGGAAAGCCCCCTTACTTAATGCCCAGTCCCTGCATTGTAATAGGGAATGTGGGGACTTGAAGCCTCATTTTAAAACCCCAGCTGGCACTGAGTGGATCCCAACCTACACAAGGATTCCTGTAGGAGCCCTGATGCTGTAATGGGGAAGCGTGGGCCTGCTAACCACAACGTTGGTGGTTCATACCCATCCCCTGCTCCATGGTAGAAAAACGAGGCGTTCTGCTCCCTTGAAATTGTACAGCCTCCCAAACCTTAAGGAGCAGTTCTGCTCTCTACAGCTCTACACGGTCACTGCAGGTCAGAACCGATTTGACTGCAGTGGACTTGGCTGTTATTAAGGAAACAAGCGGGCAGCCTCATCTTTCTCCCACCGAGAGGCTGGTGAGTTTGAACCACCTGGTGGACTTGAAGCACCTGCGGTTAGCAGCCCATCACCTAACCCACAGCACCACCGCCACCGGGGCTCCTTTGAAGTCTAGCAGATGTGGAGAATCTTCTCCTCCAACCCTTACCTTCTACTGTCTGTGGGCTCCAGGTACTAAGCACAAGACAATTCTTGAGGCACGCAGTGGGCTGGGCCCTATCAAGGCTTACCCTCGCCTGGGACCTCCCACCCCCGGGGAACCCGAGGCCCCTGCCCAGGACCGAACTTTCCACTGTGAGATCTGCAATGTCAAGGTCAACTCGGAGGTCCAACTGAAACAGGTGTGTTCAAAGTGCTTCCCAGCAAGCCTCTGGAGCTCCGCCTCTGCAGGGGAGAGGGAGGACCCGGAGCTTGAGTGGGGCCCCCTTTTCCGGGCCTTATGGAGTGGGGGAGGGTGTTGAGAGGGGGCCCCCAGTGATTTGGGGCGTGGTTACCGCTGCTGCCGCGCTTTGCCCCGTCGCGGTTGCTCCGTTCCGGTGGCTTACAGCCCCTCCGCTCCTGCTCAACCCCGCAGCACATCTCCAGCCGGCGGCACCGAGACGGCGTGGCCGGGAAGCCCAACCCGTTACTGAGCCGTCACAAGAAGCCTAGGGGCGCCGCAGAGTTGGCGGTGAGGCCTGACCTCTGGGGAATTCAACGATGGGAGAGTCAGTGTGGGGAGAAGGGAAAGGTGGGGTTTGGAGGGTCGGAGGTGCCCCCGAAGACTTGTCTTTCTCTTTCCTCCCTGCTCTACACCCCCCTGCAGGGCACGCTGACTTTCTCCAAGGAGCTGCCCAAGTCTCTGGCAGGCGGGCTGCTCCCCAGCCCTCTGGCGGTGGCTGCGGTTATGGCCGCGGCTGCGGGCTCTCCCCTGTCCCTGCGCCCTGCTCCAGCCGCCCCGCTTCTCCAGGGACCACCCATCACGCACCCCCTGCTCCACCCGGCCCCCGGGCCCATCCGAACTGCGCACGGACCCATTCTCTTCTCCCCCTACTGACCTCAACCCTGAACCCCCTCCCATTCTACCCCCCACCTCCAGCCGGGACCCAGACCTCCAGGCTCCCAGCGCGCCCCTCCTCCTGGCACTCCCTGAATGATCTCTCTCCTTCCCCCCCACCCCGAGGTACGGGGGTTCCAGGAACGGGGAGGGGCAGCGGGGGAGGGGGGCTTCAGAAGGGGGGGACACCCCAGATCTCAGGGAACCCCGCCCCCTGCCCTTCCTTCTCCCTTAGAAAAGGGGGGGCCGTCTCACCCTCGAGCCCCCTTGGAGACACCCCCCCTCCCAAAAGCCATGTCCATCCAACCCTTCCCCCTCAAACCTAGCACAAAACGGGGTTCACAAGCCATGGTCGGGGTCCAGGGGCAGAAATGGATTTTCTTGGCAATAAGCGGACTCTGGGACTCTGGCCTCCTACCCCCAAACTGAAGCGCTTCCGTGAACACCCCCGCCCTCCGCAGGGGGAGGGGCGCAGGCAGGATCCTGGGTCCCTCATAAGCACTTTGGTTTTACTGCCTGCGACCTCACTGTGCCCGCCCCTCACCATGCCCCAGCCCCGGTCTAGCCGGGCCCCTCGCAGGGAGCAGCACTTGGGGGCATCTCTGGCACTTGGGTGGGACCAAGGAGATGTCCCCAGATCCCCTTCCCTACTTCCTTCCCAGTCCGGTTCCATTCTCTGCACCAGCACCCATCGCCCTAGGGGTACCGAGGGGGGCGCGGGGTGTCTAGTCCAAGCCCACCCCCCACCCCTCGCCTTCCGCAAAACTGTGAGCAAAAAGCAATAGAAGCCTCGCCCCCGCCCCTCCCCTTGCCGCAGGATTCGCCGAGTCTGTAGCCTCCCCCGCCCCCCCCCCACTCCTAGATTTCACGGCCGTCTGCACCCACCAGACACCTCCACTGCACAACTCAACTCGGGCGGGGGCGTGACCCCCCTCCTCTGTGATTTCTGTATCGTCAGTCCTCCCAGCAGCCAACCCTCGGGGGTCTGCCCCGCCCCATCACCTCCTTCTGCTTGACGATGTAGCAGCCCCAGCCCGCCTCCGCCCTCCCCCTGTCCCTCTCCCTGATAATAAAGTCTAGATTCGTTCTGCCCTCCGCCCCACAGACTCAAGACTCGCTCCGTCTTTTTTCTGCGGTTTTGGAAGCTTTTCGGTCAAGGGGAGGGGGTGGGGATGGGGGGAAGTATGTATCTGTATGATGAGCGTGACCCGTACAAAGGAAAGGGGGCCAGAAGGACGAAGGGGACGAGTAAACGTAGGCGGGAAGATAGAGCAAAGCGAGCCGAGCTGCCCCAGGTCCCCCACCTCCGCTGCCTCCCTGCTCTAGAACGGACTGGAGTCCAGTCTCGGGTTGCCGCAGCGACAGTCGAGAATTGTCGCAGATCCACTAGGCGGCGCCAAAGACACGGAAACCGTCCCCCAGACGGAACCGCCGCAATGGTCCCCGCGCGATTCCAGGGAGACAGGGCCAGCCCCGCTCTGAGACAAAGGAAGCCAGGCTCCTGTGCCTCCTGGTGAGAAACCCACACCTCCACAGGGTTGCAAGGCACGGGAGAAACAGGATCAGAGCTCTCGCCTCTGACCCATATAAACAGTGACCTTGTCTTCTCTGGACCCCAGTTTCCCATTTGCACAAGAAACCCTTTTGGGTGGAAGGAAAGGTTCCTTGAGCCTTCCTATGAGATGGCTTCCAAAAGTTCGTGGGAAAATTCCATTCTCTTTCATTCTATTTTTCCCACGAGGACGTCTCCGAGCAGATCCCTGCAGACGCATTCCGATTCCACTCACGCCTTGAATCCTCTCAGTGCACTTTTCTCACTTCCTCCTCGTTTCCGGTTTCCATTTCTTCTTCTGCCCTAACCCTGAGCACTCTGTCTTGGGTAAACGCTGCCCTTGTGATCTTAAACGGTTGATGTTTCGAACTCGGCGGTGAAGTCGGTTCCAGACCTGGGGAGTGAGGGCCTCATTGAAGCCTCCATGCCCATGCATGCTTGAGGAACCGAACCGGGGCAGTATCTTTTCAGACAGATTCTAACTGCTCCTCTGGTCCCCTCAAGGCCCAGGGCGTACGCAGGGTCTCCATTGGCTTCTTGGTATTCAGTTCCATCACACACCATCAAGCCCCACCGGTCATCCCATAGCCCTCTCCCCCAACCCGCTGGCTGACCAGCAAAGCAGCCGGAAGAGCCCAGAGCGGAAGCTAGCATCTTGTGGGGTCCCCCCAGCTTACATCATCTTTGCTCACTTCCCCCTCTGTCCACTTTCCAGTCTTGCAGAAGAGAAGGGGGAGGGAAGGTGGAATGAAGGCTGCTAAAGAGGAAGGAGAGGGGAAGGAGGCCTCCTCCGGAGTTTGCCAACTGTGAGGTTGGGGGTGGGGTTCACTGTGAGTTCAAAAATGGAACCCATAGAAGGAGCTTGGTGTGTTGGAGGGTTTTTTTTTTCCAGCTCAGTACCACTCAAAACAAGTCCCCGGCTACAGGTGCAGAAGAATGAGAAGCAAGGGTGTGTGGATGGGGTGACATTTGGGGAGAGACAGGGTCTGGGAGATACTGGGGTTAATGAGACCGAAATACTAGCCAGTTTGCAAAGGTGCCTGAGACCTGCTGGCTTAAAACTGAAGTCACTGCCCCATTCTGTTGTTCCTCTTCCCACATTTACCACCCTGATTACGATTAGAGCCCTCCCAGGCACCTGGACAATTAGGATCATCCGAGCTCCTCCCTCTTCCTAATCCTTCACTGAGTCACTAAGTAAATTCTACTTGACTTCTTAACAACCTACAGATCATCATCATCCTCTTCAGGTCCCACAACCTCTGCTCTATCCACAAATGGTTACATAATTTGCAGGATCTGGTGCAAAATGGGAATACAGGGTCCCTTGTACCCAAAGCCTGAAAATTTCTTTTTTTTTAAATCATTTGATTGGGGGCTCTTACATCTCTTATAATATTCCATACATCAATTGTATCAAGTGTATGTGTACATATGTTGCCATCATCATTTCCAAAACATTTTCTACTTGAGCCCTTGGTATCAGCTCCTTTTTTCCCCCCTCCCTCAAAGCAGGAGAATTTCAAGAGAATGACAGAAGAATATCAAGCCAAGCACCAGGTGCTTCTGAGGGCACCACCCTGTGCAGGGGGCATGCCCATGGTGCCAGTCCTGGACCTAACTCAGGGCTCTCCTTTCTCCTGTCTGAACAGGTACCTCCTTACTTCTGACCTACATACCGAGCACTTCCTACTCAAAAAAAACAAAAAACCACTGCCATGACGACCCTTAGGACAAGGTAGAACTGTACCTGTGACTTTCCAAGACTGTGGCTGTTCACAGGAGTAGGAGGTTCCATCTGTCTTCGGAGGAGTGGCTGATGGTTTCAAACTGCCAACCTTGCAGTTAGCAGCCCAACGTGTAAACACTACACCACCTGTCCTTCTTCCTCCCTACTCAACTGAGTACAAATTCCCCCCATGGCTTCCAGCATAACCTCCCAGCTCCTTCCTGGGACACACAAGCCCACGTTGTTCCATCCCTGCGCACCTTCCAGGGTCTTCTTTCTTATTCCCTGTCTTTGACCCTTTGTGCTACCTCTAGTTCCTCAAGTGTGCACCTCAAGTGTAGGTCCTCAAGATACAGTGAGTCTGGACTGATCCCACAGCACAGAGAGCCTCTCGGCACGCTGGTTCCGTCTAAAATGCCCTTCTCCTCTCAAAGCGGCACAACTCCTGCTCATTCAAAACCCAGCTCTCCAGCGCAACCACCTCTCCAAGAGCCCTTTCCTGACCTGCTGAGCGGCGCACCCCTCCTTTTCTCTATAAGTTCCCAAACGTATTTGACCTACTGCCCCCTTTCCAGAAAAAAAGACTCAGCATGCCCCCCACCCCCACCTCCAGCAATTAAAAACACTGGCGCTCGAGCCCATCATCCGGGATAAAGTATAGGGATCTGCTTTTGCAACTTCTTTGGATCATTCCAGGGTCCCCCAGAGGGCAGAATCACCCACTTGGGAAAACACTGCTCCAGAGAGAGGTCAGCAAACATCTTCTTACAGAAAAACCAAACGCACTGCCAACTAACTCCCGGCAACCCTGCAGGACAGGGTGGGACTGCCCGTGGGACTTTCTAAGGCTGAAAACCCTTTACAGGAGTAGAAAGTCTTGTCTTATCCGAGAGTAAATGTTTTAGGCTATGCTAGGCAAGAGGAAAAAGTGATAGAACCAAAGAGCAAAACCAAACCCACTCTCGTCCTGTCAATTCTGACTCATCGGGACCCTACGAAGAAGAGCGAGACTGCTCCCTAGCTCTACAGGAGCAGGCACTGTGCCGCCCTAGAGATCTGTGGCCAAGAAAACCACATCCACTGGCATCGAATTGATTCCACCTCAGAGCGACCCTACACAGGGTTTGGGAGACTTTGTATATCTTTATGGGAGCAGAGCAGACAGGCTGTCTTTCTTCTGCGGGGCATCTGGCTGGTTTGAACCACAGAACTTGGGGTTCGCAGTCCAACGCTGACCTGGTAACGCCACCAGGGCTCCTCTTTTGGTTATCAAGAGAGTCATTTAAAACTGAATCACTGAAAACTGGAAAACAAGAACAGGCTTAGCTCATGGGCCGTATGAAAACAGATGGCAGACCAGATTTGACCCAGAGGCCAAAGTTTGTCAGTCTCTGCTGTAGAGAATCCATTATGCATTTCTGCATGTCTCTCGCTATCTCCTGTGCTAGACGGTGTGCGAGCCTATGGGGAAGCCCGGGTGCCATCTGTTTCTGTATGGCCACGGTCAAGCTCAGGGCCTGGCGCTGAGAGCACATTTGCTGGTTGAAATGGAGCCTGACCCACGTGGGGAGAGAAGTCTGAATGCTGGATGCTCATTTCTCACCTGTCCTCACCACACTCCCCTTTCTCAGGCGGACCAGAGTGGCCCATGGGACTTCAATCACCTCCGAGCCCCGGAGAGAGGACAGGCAAAATAAGTCCCGAGGTTTCATCATAGAGCTGCTCCTCGAACTTGGTCTTGTCCCTTTGTCCCTAGAGAGTGGCCCAGATGTCCAGGTGTTGCATCTCAATGACAATTCTTGTCAATGATCAAATAGGTGTCCTGCCTCATAAATGGGAAGGAAGTGTATCTTCATCGCAGGAAGGATAAAAGAGGAAGTAAGAAGTGTTGGGGGGAAGGAAGGAAAAAAAGTTTGCCTTGCCCTAACCCTGGCGCCTTAGTGCGTTGTGCGCTGAGCAGTTAGCCACAAGGAAGACTCCCTCTCACGGCCATGGAGACACTGACTCAGAGAGTCAGGGTGGGACTAACTGCCCTTGTGGGTTTCCTAGCCTGGAAATGGTCATGGGAGTAGAAAGTTTCATCTTTCTCCCTTGGAGCAGCTGCTGGCTCCAAACTGCTGGCCTCGTGGTTAGCAGGCCGACCCAAAACCTCCAGCGGGAGAAAGATGAGGTTTTTCTCCTCCGGGAAAGAGCAATCATCGATCAAAGGCACTGGAGCAGTTCTCCCTTGTCCTGTAAGGTCGCCGCAAGTCAAAATTGATGGGTGGCACTGAGTGAGTGAATGAGTGCAGAAGGCTTGGGGTTAATGTAATGCCGCTGGGTTAGGCAGGGGTGCTACAATCAAAACGTTTCCCACACATAGTTTTCCCAAAGGGGAATTTCTCACAGTTTAGGAGGCTAGAAGTCTGGACTCAATACCTGTCTTGAAGGAAGGCCTGCTGTCCGTGTTAGTGCTGAAGGAAAGGCTTTGTCTCTTCGAGCTCCTGCTCCTGCAGGGATTTTCTGGTAACTTGGCTTCGCTCTGCTCTTCCTCCATCTCTGCTCCCTAACTTGCTGGTTTAGAGCTCTTTTACATCTCAAAAGAGATAGCCTCCAACACACCTTACTCTAATCCTGCCTCATTAACCTAACCAAGAAAACTCTGTCCCAAATGGCATGGTAACCACAAGCATAAAGGTTAGGTGATTACTCTCACTGGACCACGGTCCACAAGGTCAGCAGTCCAAAACCACCAGCAGCTCTGAGGAAGGAAGACGGGCTTTCTACTCCTGTTAAGAGTTACAGTGTCGGAAACTCACAGGGGTAGTTCTACCTTTGTCCTATAAGCTCCCTGTGAGTCGGCACTGGCTCCATGGCAGTGAGTTTATTTGAAGGGGCGGGGAGGCACTGTTCAATCCATAACAGATGAAGAGCATAAGAATTTCAACACAGAAGTCCACATTTCACCAGGCATAGCAAAATGAGTCGGACTGGAAGGACGGAAGGAAGTGGCTGAGCTTGGGCAACTGGGGAGTTTCTCGAGCTCCCAGTCCAGTATAACAGGGGACTTCAGTGGACGGCAGGAGCACCTGTTGAAGGCTGACTGCGCTTTCCAGGAAGGGGTGCTGCTTGTGTCCATTGGACTACCTCTGCTACTGGAAAAAGAATCTAAGACTGACAGACTCAAGTGTTTCTTTTTGTGGTAGGTGCGCTTGTAATACTATCTCTTCACCTGCCAGGTGGTCATTGACAGAAAAATCAGGGTATGCATGTGTGTGTGTGTGTGTGTCTGTGTTTGGAGAGAGAAAGACGCAGAGAGAGAGGAGGAGAGGGCCCTCTCCTGGCGTTCAGAATACAGAAAGCAGGCTCCTGGGTGGTCTCTGGCAATGGGGAAGGAATTGGAGGGGGAGGGGGGGGACCGGGGAGAGCACAAAGATTGCTGAGAGCACCTGGAACGATATTGAAAGGGCCTAGGGTTTGGGGGGCGGCAAAGAGGGCACAGAGACTGAGTCATTTATTTAGATAAGAATTTGGGGAAATGGTTGATCATGGGGAAGGAGTAAGAGCTAAGGGGAGGAGTAGGGAGTTTAGGATAAAGCGAATGGGTATGGGGGCCGATGACTTAAAGGTGTCCAGGGACCCAGGACCATGCAAGAGTCGCTGCTGTTTTGCTTTGATGATTCCCCAAGACCGGCTTCTGGCTTCCCGGCTTGCAGAAGCCAAAGAGCAGAGAGTCCGTGAAGGTCCAGGCCAAGTTCTGACTCTTCTCTCCCTCTTCCATCCACATCTCTTCAGCCTCCAGCATGTGGAACGGCTCTGATGCCAACTTTTCCTGCTACCATGAGTCTGTGCTGGTCTACCGTTACATTGCCGTTAGCTGGGGCATTGTGGTGGCTGTGACGGGCACCTTGGGCAACGTGCTCACGCTGCTGGCCTTGGCTATCCTGCCCAAGCTCCATACCCGCTTCAACTTGCTCATCGCCAACCTCACCCTTGCGGATCTGCTCTACTGCACCTTGCTGCAGCCCTTCTCCGTGGACACCTACCTCCACCTGCACTGGCGCACGGGGGCCACGTTCTGCAGGGTCTTTGGACTCCTCCTCTTTACTTCCAACTCCGTCTCCATCCTCACCCTCTGCCTCATCGCGCTGGGGCGTTACCTCCTCATCGCCCATCCCAAGCTGTTTCCCCAAGTGTTCAGTGCCAAGGGAGTAATACTGGCGCTGGTGGGCACCTGGCTACTCGGCGTGGCTAGTTTTGCCCCCCTCTGGAATGTCTATGTCTTGGTCCCGGTCGTCTGCACCTGTAGCTTCGACCGCATGCGAGGCCGCCCCTACACCACCATCCTCCTGGGCCTCTACTTTGTGGTTGGGCTCAGTAGCGTTGGCATTTTCTATTGCCTCATCCACCGCCAAGTGAAGCGAGCAGCCCAGGCTTTGGACCAATACAAGCTGCGCCCAGCAAGCGTCCGCTCCAACCACGTGGCCGGGACAGAGGATGCCGTCTCCGGTCGTTTTCAGGAGCTGGACAGCGGGCTGGCCTCAGGAGCGCCCAGCGAGGGGATTTCATCGGAGCCAGTCAGTGCTGCCACCACCCAGACCCTGGAGGGAACCTCATCTGAAGTGGGGGGGCAGGGCAACCACAAAGTGGCTAAACAGATGGCAGAGAGAAATACACCCAAAGCAGCTGCCCAGGCTGGGCCAACCCCAGGAGCCCGGAAAGCCCCGGACTCCCCATCCGAGTTTGGGAAGGTGACTCGGATGTGCTTTGCTGTGTTCCTCTTCTTCACCCTGAGCTATATGCCCTTCTTGCTGCTCAACATCCTCGATGCGAAGGTCCAGGCTCCCCGGGTGCTCCACATGCTAGCTGCTAACTTCACTTGGCTCAATGGTTGCATCAACCCCGTGCTCTACGCAGCAATGAACCGCCAGTTCCGCCAAGCATACAGCTCCATCCTTCGACGAGGGCGCCAGAGTTTCCACAGGCTCCGTTAGGACCGTGCCCTCAGTCACCAGAATCCTCGACCGTCCCTCCTCCTAAGACCAAAGTAGCCAGTTGACACAAGAGTAGGTGAAAATAAAGACTTGGAGGACTTCACAGAGAATCCAAGCGAAGAGATGAGTCAGTCAGGGTGCAGTGTAGCACTGATGAAACATACAACTTTCCTCTAGTTCTTTAATGCGCCATTCCCCCCTCCCTCCCACACACGCTATCATGACCCCACTTCTACCTTACAAATCTGGCTACACCAGAGCATATACACGGGTACAGATAAGAGCTGGAAACACAGGGAATCCAAGACAGATAAACCCCTCAGGACCAATAATGAGAGTAGTGATACCAGGAGGGGAAGGGAAAGGTAGGGGGGAAAGGGGGGAACTGATCACAATGATCTACCTATAACCCTCCTCCCAGGGGGACAGATAAAAGAAAAGTAGGTGAAGGGAGACAGTGGTCAGGGTAAGACATGAAAAAAATAATTTATAACTTATCAGGGGTTCATGAGGGAGGGAGGGTGGAGAAGGGGGATAAATGAGCTGATACCAAGGGCTCAAGTAGGAAAAAAATGTTTTGAAAATGATGATGGCAACATATGTACAAACGTGCTCGACACAATGGATGTATGTATGGATTGTGATAAGAGCTGTATGAGCCCCCAATAAAATGATTTTTAAAAAGGCCAAGCCATTCCATGAATGTTTCAATCTGAAGCTGTCCAGCGTGCAGTGTTATTAATAAATGAACTCTCTACTTTTAATGCACAAGTGTAGTTCCAGGGTTGGTTTTGAGGCTGGAATCTAACAATTGAGTGTATGTGTGTGGGAGGCCAGGGGTGGGGGGTGGGGGGGTGGGGGGGGAGGTGGTAGTTACATAATCTGGTGTCAATTTGAGAGGATTACGAATGAGTGAAGGAGGGGAGTCTGACCTGTCAATCAAGATATAACCAAATGAGGCCTCTATGTGGGCCTGGCCTCCTGAGAATTCTGGAAACTCTAGTACTTCCTCCTTGGGGCGGGAGACACACTCTCTCCACTCACTCCCTTGGACACTCTCTGCTGACAAGGCTGACTCCCTGTGAGACATCCCTGAGGAGAAGCCACATGGACCTACCCTGATGCAGCCAGAACCATGGGCCTGGAGAAGCCACGTGGAGACCTCTGCCAGAGCTGAGATGCTTACACTGCCACTGGATCTCAATACTTCCCACCCACTGGCCTGTGATCTTCCTGCATTCAGCATCATTGCATGTATTTTGTGGGTGTGAAGAGGACTTTATAGATTGGTGTCAGACATATAGGATAATATTGGAATTATGGACTTGATCTGGACTGGGCTGGGCTGTTTGCTTAATAGTCAACTGCTCTTGTAGATAAACCTATTTCTTATACACAGATGCGTGTTTATGAATTTGTTTCTCTAGTCTACCCAGACTAGCACAGGGGGTGTGAGGAGGTGTGTCAGCGCAGGGACAGGAAGCAGCCAGCCTGGGGCACAGTCTTCTGCTGAGGGCTTCCCACGAACAAAGCACGTGAGTTGGTTGGAGAGGACTGTTGTCAGGTGGCATCATGCCAAGTGGTGGTTCTGGCTCATAGTGACCCTACAGGCTACAGAATGCAACGCAGCCCAGTCCTGTGCCACCTTCATGATCATTCGTAGGTTTGAGCCCATGATTGCGGCCACTGTGCCACAACATTTTGGGGAGGGCCTTCCTCTTTGTCGTTGCCTCTCTGCTTTAGCAAGCATGATGTCCTTCTAGAGGGATCGATCTCTCCTGATAGCCCGTCCATAGTACCTGAGACAAAGTCTCACCATCTTTGCCTCTAAGGAGCAAGGCTTGTAGAAGCAAAAGAGCAGAGACTCTAGTTAAGAGGCCTCAGGGGCCAGACTGGGGAGAGACCATACCAGTGACAGCACCTTCCTCCAGCAAGTCTATCAGCACCCGACCAGCCCTTGTACTCCTATGAGCACGCGAGCCCTGAAAGCACCTGTGGCCACCAGGGGACGCTGGTTCTCTGTGTTTTCTCTCTGGCTTCCTGAGGCTTCCAGCTGCCAACAGGATTAGGAGGCGGAGACCCCTGAGAGGCAAAGGATTCTCCCTGACCTGGAGGAATCCCTCCTCTCCCTTTTTCTCCAAAATTTAGGAAGAAAGGCCAAGAGTGAGGTGTTTATTATTGGAAATATTTATTGTCTTCTAAATGTGGGGGCCTAGGATGCAGCAGGTGAGGGAAAGGGAAGGGAGGCCACATTGTCAGGCACTGGAGGAGTGTGAGTCATGATGACATGAATACTTTGGCTGCACGCTGTTGCTTCCTCATCCCAAATCCATGGTTTTAGAGAACAAAGTGGAGTCCAAAGAAATTCAGACAGGGGAGAAAGCATGGTGGTGTGATGACCCAATCAATAGCCTCACAGTCAACACACTCCCGGAGCCCAGGAATTCCGCCTCCCTCCGACTCGAACACTTGCTTCTGGTGTCCTGCTTCCACACACACACAAATGACAGTAGCCTAACCAGGAGTCAAGTTCGTGCTAGGAAGGGGACCAGACAGGTGGGGTGATGAATGGACTGGTGATGAACGTCAGCTTGGGAGTGGAGAGGCCAAGGGCCCCCCGTGAAGACTCCCTGAAGTGAGTTCTGTGAATGTGTGCAGGTCATTGGGGCCACTTTGGACATCAGGTTTTATCATCGGTAACAAGAGGGAGAGGTGTTCTTTCTCAGCTCAGTGCTGCTCTGTAAATAGGTTGTTTGGGGTAATCCTCACAAAAATACCCTGAAGTATATGATCTCTTTCTCTCAAATAAGAAAATTGAAGCAAAAGTAACTTGCCTAAGGTCAAACAGCTAGTGAATGCCATCCAGATTTGAATGTCCAGACTCGTGTCAACACAAGACAGCTGCTTTTCTAAAACTGCAATCAACTGACCAGTCGGTCCCTAAAAGTCCTGATCCCTAAAAGCTGGACTATTCTCTGAAGGGTTGTAAAGGGTTAACTTTTCATTATTGCTTGAAGGCAAGTCAAAAGCTTTGGCAAAGAGAAATGAGCAGCAATAGGGACTGAGGTTAGACCTCAGGAAGGACTTCTCAATTTGCAATCGCTGGAAAAAAGAAAAATGATTCAGGGGACCTGGGAGTCTGAGACCACTAAGGCAAACCCCCTGCCCTGGAGTCAAATCTGACTCAGGGTGACCCTACAGAGCAGGGTGGAAATGCCCACCTGTGGGTTTGCAAGACTGTAACACGTCGTTACAGGAGTAGAAAGCCGCATCTGTCTCCAGAGGAGCAGCCAGTGGTTTCGAACTGCTGACCTCGCGGTAAGCCGCCCAACGGGTAACCCCTAGGCCACCAGGGCTCCTTCTGGGACCACAGAGGGCAGGACAGGAGCAAGGAAGTAACCTTTCTTTTGCCGACCTCCCAACCATCCATCGGTCGGAAGAGAAGGGAAAGCAAGATTATCATGCAGGCTCTCTTTTGCGAGCATGTGCGTGGTGCGAGTGTGTCCGCATTGAAGGTCCCTTGGGTGCGGGGCTCGCGGGTGTCTCGGGGAGTGTGTGCGTCCGCGGCCTCGGCTTGCTCAGCAGTGTCAGGGCGTCAGTCCCCCTCCAGAGCGCTAGCGCTGACTTTCTGCCGCTGTCTCTCACAGCTTCTCTTTGTCTCTCTCCATCTGTGCGTCTCTCCCGCAGGCGGTCTGCGTCTCTGGTCCCTCTGCCGTCGCCTCTTTCGACCCCCTCTCCTAAGCGCGTCCTCCCCCTCCCCACGGCCGGCCTCGCCCCTCGCCCCCGCCCGCTCGGCCCTCGCTCGCCCGCACCCTCTCTCTCTCTCCTGCTGTCTCTTACAGGCAGATTTATGGTCAGCCCAGAGCCTTTCATTGGCCAAGCGCTGACAGCATTTGATTTAACGCTGCTTCCCATTGGCTGAGCTTGACAGGCCGATTTACGAGTCACTCTGCCATTGGCCAAACCGGCCCGGCTCTGATTTATGGCTCGGTGGCTGCCGAGAGGAGGGGGCGCAGCTGGGGAGGGAAGATGCCCCTCCCCTCTCCCCTCTCCCCTTGTGCTCCCTCTTCTCCCCTTCTCGCTCGAACCGCTACCCCTCTACCGGGGTCTCTCAAGTCCCCTTCCCCTCCATCCACCGGGAGCGGGGCCACGGGCTGGGGGCCGGGGCAGGATGAGGACTGCAGTGGAGGCTGGAAAACGGGAAAGGGACACGTCCGAGGGGCGGAGGGGCGTCGAAAGGATGGAGGGTGGAGAAAGGATCGTGAGCTAGAGAAAGTTGAGGGGCCACCTCGTGAAAGGGGGGAAGCCCTGGGAAGCCAGCGTGGGGAGGAAAGAAGGGGAGCGGAAGAGAAAGGGCCTTTGAGGGGACGAAGGGGTGGAAGCAGCGGGAGATGGAGGGACTGAGAGGCACTTCTCCCTGCCCACCCCCCAGAAAAACCTCACTATCAGGACAGAAATGTCCTCTTCTGACAGCGGCTTTGAAAGGGACTTAAAAGAGCAAAGGCATAGAGAAGGCTCAAAAGAAAGATGGAAAGAGCGAGAAGGAATAGGCTGACGGGTTGGGTTGGGTTTTAACCAAGAAAACTGGGGAGACGGATACAGACTTAAGGGAGGGAGATCATGGGAACTAAGATTAGTTCTTATTTGGGGCGGGGGGTGGAGTTAGGTGGGACGAGACTAATTCTTTAGAAGAAACACTGAAACAAGTCCTCTTCCTCCTCCTCCATCTGCAGTCACACTGGGGTCTGCTGGGGGGGCCTCAGGCGCCTCCTCCTGGAGATGTTCCGCTGCGTCAAGGCTGCAGTCCGTTCTCCTTTCAGTACACCTCACCCCTCCCCCTTGCCTACCTCTCCAGTTGAATTTATGAGTTCAGGGTTGGCCTTCAGGAATTAGGGATATTTATGCTTCTTTGAGAATGAGGTTTGGAAGGTGATAAATAAGGAGCCATTGGGGGGTGACGCTAGGGGTTCTATTTTTAGTGGGGCCGCTTTCCCAAGCTCCCCACCTTCCCGTTCTCCCTCACCTCTCAC